CCCTAACAGAAAGGTTCCGACTATACTAGACATGTTCGAAGAATATGTTGTGCCCGGATCTATCATTGTTACCGATGGTTATCCATCTTACCCTGGGGCTGTTAGTGAATTTGGTTGGGTCTTGCCATGAAGTGGTAAACCACTCTGTTGGGTTTGTTAATGCTCAAGGAGCACATACTAACCAAATTGAAAACCTGTGTCACATCTTAAGCATGCCTATCGAAAACGTGGCGGTATTAATAAAAGGAGAATTAATTTTTTTTAAATGAATGGCAATGGAGGAAACGAAACGTTCAAAACAGCGATAACAAGACGCTTAGGATTGCATTATATAGACTATTAAAAATGTTTAGATTTTAATTTTTTGAGCCAATCATTTTTTTAAAAATTATAATATTTTTTTTTAAAAAACAAGGGGGGTGGAAAGATGAAGTAGCGCCCAGATCTTAATCCTGTTGAAAATTTATGGACAGATATGTCGAGAATGAATTATAGTGACGGGAAACAATATAATAATATTCAAGATTTACATTCTGCGATATTAGTAGCCTGGTCAAGTATTATACCCGAAAATCTGCTAAACTATGTTAATGGAATGCAGAGGCGTATGATCGACGTTGTTAAAGAAAGAGGTGATAAAATCAATAAATAAGTTTTCTTTTTTTGAATTACTTTTTTTTAAAAAACATCAAAACCATCATGTCCCTGAGAAAACTTAAAGAAGTTTAAAATCACTTTTTTTAACAAAAAAAAATAAATAACAGATATCATTATTTTAAGCATGTGTTTGTATTTCAAAATTTGAGTTTAATGAGACGTCCCGTTTAATTGTAAGACTAATTATTTTTTATAAGCGTTTTGTAGTAGCTTAGATTAGAAAAATAAAATCATGCAGTAGTTTATTGTAACAAAACGAGTGTAATATTTACAATTCTATAAAACGTGTTTTTGGAGGTGTGTCTTAAGATTTTGACGCACCTCTTAAGACAAAAAATCCAAAAACCAGATTTAACATATATAAAGTAAGATTAATAAAAGGTATTTTTTAAATTCTTTTAATTACAATGTTTAAACACGAATTATGATTTTAGAATTGTATCTTGTGTAATTTTGCAAGGAATTTTTTTTTGGGTGTCTTAAGATTTTGACGCGCACTATATAACCATTGGTTGATAGTAACGTTATATTATAGATAGAAAGTCGCTTTTCTGTATTATTGCGATTTTTATTGTACTACACATACAACACAACAAATTTATTTTTTACAGATGGGTGGATACATATACATATATTCTATAGAATTATTAACCGTCGGCTTTTAACGAACGCAAGACACAATTCCTATCGGGGATTTAAAAAAGGCTTGTTTTTAAACTCTTGTACGGGGCCATCGTGGGAACTGAGCACGCAACAACGTCAAAGTTTTTTTTTGAAATAACAACTTGGCAATAGTCACTAACTAACTTGCTTTTAATCTTATAAAAGTTAATACACATGAAAGTTTTTAAAATATTTTAAATAACCCTCATGAGGCCTACAATCAAATCACAAGAAGAATACGATAACATCGTAAATATTCTTAAGGGGGAGAATTTGACAACATATGGCAATAAACCGTGGAAATATGCCCAGATAGATGACCAGAACACAAAAAATTCTCCAAAATATTTACTTTTGTACATTTTAACGTTTTATTTTTATTTGGCCTGTCTGAATTATAATGTGGGGTTGTTTTCTTTCATGTTGAAATGACTTGCTTTCGCTCTTGGTCCTTAGATATTCGATAGAATTTTGTTATCTTAACCTAGGGTTCAAGGGTTGAAATTTATTAAACAAAAAAAAAATCATTTTTGAAAAACAACCAAAGTTAAATTATTTGATGTGGCAATAAATACCGAATAAACATACCAAGTATCGTTTGAAAAAAGGCTGAACTGTTTATCTTAATAGATAATTTACTTTATCTGAAAGATACAGAAAATGGTCATAAACGGGTGTTTGTGGAAGGAACAGTGCTTTCTATGAAAATAGAAGTGCAAAAACTGCACAATCAAGATTATTATGGTCAGAATCGTCTTTACGAGTTGTGCAAACAACTTTGCTTTTAAATTCCCAGATGTGTTGTTAGAGAGGTTTGTAATGAGTGTAATATCTTCTTACAAGCTCAACCCCTTAAGATAAAGGAAAAATTTAAGCATATCCTGGCTAAGAAGCCTTTTGAAAGATTAATCATTTATCTTGTTGATATAAGGATTTGCGCGGAAAAAATGATGGCTTTAGTTATATTCTTACAGGTATATATGTATATTCTAAATATACAATTACTTGTGTTCTCAAAAGTAAGACAGCAACTAAGGTTCTTTCATGTCTTAAATTGGCTATTTATAAACTTGGTGATTCTAAATAATTCAATGTGATAAAGGAAAAGGATTTAGATATTCTTGTTTGGTTGATTTTTGTAAGGAAGAAAGCATTATTTTATATCATGGAATGCAAAGACATCCACAAAGCCAAGGGCAAATCGATCGATTTAGCCAAACGCCCACACGATATTTGCAAAAGCATCTATGTGATGGTGTGTTTGCTGCCGGTAAAAATTGGACTGCGTTTTTGAGCAAGGTGGCTTATGAGTATAAGGTAGCAATACATTCTGCAACGAATAGGCCACCATTTAATCTATTTTTAAGTAGAAGCGGTTCAAATGTTGTAACGTGCTCTATAGATAGTAGCATTGTTGATTCGGATGAGAATCATATTTATATACAAATTAGAAATATTGAAGAGAATGATAATAAGGTCATTGATACAACTATAGTTAATCAAAAATATTTAGGACCCATTGACAGAAAATGCGTTCATAATTTATTAATGGCATAATTATAGGTGACATTATTATTATAAAAAGAGATTTTGATACAAATAGTAAAACAAAGAAGTTAAAATTAGACACATTTTATTCTACACCCAAAAAAGTAACCGAAATTCTATCAAATAATCGTAATAAAATTGAAAATGGTGGTATTGAAGAATTCTTTAAATAAATCTAGTGAACAAAATTAATTCTTTTGATTAATTTCTTGCCTGTTTACGGACTAATCCCCGTATTTCTCATAAAAGTAATCTAATATAAATTTGATATGCACATTGTTGGATAATAGCATCCTGTTTCAAATCCGAAACACTTGTTTCGGAGAAAAGTATAAAAGCAAATATTCAATAAAGAGGATGTCATCTAAAATGACTCCCCGTTCTGTTAATAATACTAAGCGGCCAGTGAGGGAATTCGCTCCCAGCACACATCACGCTGTATATTTTGAATAGTTATAGCACCGTATAATTTTAATTTATTAATTTAAAATAAATATATTTTTGTATGAGTTAGCTAAAAACATTCTTCCTGATAGAAGAATTCTTTTATTTTTATTGGCGCCCAATAATCTTAGATGTCCTGATATGTCAAGGCCAGAATATTCAAAGTACCAATCAAAGCCGTTTTACCAAAGTCGTGTTGTTTCACATAATTGACCTTTTTTTAATTTGACACATGCTGATCACAAAACTTTTAGTCGATTTTTTAAGTATAAATTTTATGTTTTTTGAGTAATTTTTTTAATTTTACTTTAAAAATGCATCTCAATTTTTTTTTCATTTAAACTTTAAAAATAAAAAATTTAAGATATTACAATTTTTTTTAAAACTCTCTTTTCCAATAAGAATTTTTTGTTGATTTCCCATATTTCCCCCTACCCTAAAAAATTTATTTTTAAATTTTTTAATTTTTACCCTTTCTTTAAAATGTTAAGTGACACTGAAATCCAACATATTGCAGAAGTTATAAAAAATTAATTATTAAGAAGAAAGTGTCTTAAATGCAAGGAAATGTAAAGCTTAGGACAAACAGAAAGAATATAGTAAGATGTAAAGACGAAAAATGTGCGACAGAAAGGTCTTCATTTTTTTGTACTGCTTTTTATTATCGGCAGTTAAATGCTTGTTTAATTTTTAAAGTTCTTAATTTATGGATGTCAAAAGTCACTCCTCTTCATATTGCTAAGATTTTGGACATTAAGTGTAAGACAGTAATTGCTATTTTATTTCTTTATAAAAAAGGTTTATTTTTTATATAAATAACAAAGACAATTTTTTGGGTGGATGTGACGTGGTTGTTGGGTTAGATGAAAGCAAATTTGGCAAAAGGAAATATAGTAAGGGACATCGGGTTGAAGGAGTATGGATACTTGGAATGGTCGAAAGATCATTATAACGTAGGATTTTTTTATTTCCTGCACCCAATAGAAAAAATGAATTTTTAAACAAATTAATTAAAAAATTTATAAAAAAAGACTTTGTTATATACTCTGATTGTTTGAAAGAATATTCTAAAACTTCTAATTTTTTGGAAAGCAATCTTATTATTAACCACAGTAAGTTTTTTAAGGACCCAATAGCTAGTGTTCATACCAACACTATCGAGGGAAATTGGGCAGCTATCAAACACCAATACGCTGTCGTACAAAAAAAATAATTTTACCATATTTGCTACGTTTATGCTTCCAAGAAGTCATAAAAAAGACTACTTTCTGGTTTTAATCAAATTATTTCTTTTAAATTTTGTTGGGGTTTTAAAATTAGGAGTATTTTTTAAAAAAAATTAATTATATAAATTAGGGGGACTGAACTCAAAATTAGTTAAAAGAAGATATGTGATGAATTAATCAAGCAAATTATTTTACCATGTGTTCGTGTTAGTCTTAAAAATATTCTTTATATTAAATGAATAACGAATATTTATTTTTTTGCCTTCTTTCAATTTTTTAAAAATGTAGGCAAATTTGCTTAGAAGACCCCAAATCATAACATAAAGAGCCATAAAAAAAATTTTTATAGGCTTGCAGATGTTTTTGAATTGTCGATATCTTCTATAAGCTTGCGTGGTGATTGTACGATTGTTGAGTCGAGATCGGCCAATGTTTTAATTTCTACTGCTAATGATATAGTGAGGACTGGTAGCATTATACATTTAGATGAATGAAAAGCCTATAGTACTTTTGCTAGTTCTTCTGACTATGACTACAAAACTGTGCGTTGTAAATTTAATTTTGTGGGTTCAAATTTTAGTGTACACACAAAGCATGTCGAATCATACAACAATAAATTAAAAATACAAATTTAAGCAAAAGAAGGATCAATATTAGAGCAAAAAAAATCTTTGTTAAAATTTATGTTAAGAGAGCGTCATGTCACCGACCCATTTATGTCTTTTATTAAATTATTAAAATGTTTTTATTTATTTTATTAGCGGAGATGCTAGCTAGCGACCCTAGTTCATATTTTTTTAAAAATTAGCTAAAAATAGCATCTCTGGCAAAAAGTGATATTATTTAAAATTGAATTTTTTTATCCCCCATTTTAAGAATGAGAAGTGTTATGGTAAGAAATGAAAAGACAGAAGTTTTTTTTTATAATCTTTTATTATCTAATCAGCATCGATTTTGTCTAAAATGTTGAACTAAATATTCCTTTGTAACTTAAAAAGCCATTATCTTCATTATAGGTGATATGAGTGTAAGTTTCAGTTAAGTATTTGGAGAAATACAATATTTGAAAATACAAAACCGAACCACTTAAAAGTGTTAAAAATGGGTAGTTTATGCAGTGTAGGTGCAGCGTCGTTGCTTATTTTAATCTTTAAGGGGGTGGGAAGGAAATCGTGCTTTTTTACGCCAAACAAATCAGATTGTTTAGATATATATGGCAAGTATCTGAAAAGTTTTAGAGATATGGGGGGGCGGAGATAATATTATAGTAGAGTTTGATGAGTCTAAACTAAGAAAAACAAACATCACCAAAAAAAACTTATTAAAAGTTTCCGGTCTTTAGGTATGGTTGAGAGAAAACTCAACAGAAAAAAATTATTGTAATTAATATCATCAAAAAGAGATAGAAATACTCCCCCCCCTTCCACTGCTTGTAGGATATATTGACCATGATTCAACTATTTTATGATATGTGGAAAGCTTACCATAATTTAATTTTTTAATTTAAAAAGTATTATATGGTTAATCACGGTTTGTATTTTAAAAATACTGCAAAAAATGTCGTAGAGGCCCACTTGTTGGAATTCCCACATGGTGGGAAAAAATTTATTTTTTTTACCCTCTAAATGAAAGATCAGATTCTTGGATAAGAACTTTTTATTGATTGGGAAAAAGAACAGTTTGGTGAATGCTTGCTTTTCGTTAAT